CGTCGTCGTCGTCGTCGTCGTGTAGTAGTAGGTAGTAGTGTGTGTGTGTGTGTGTGTGTGTGTGTGTGTGTGTGTGTGTGTGTGTGTGTGTGTGTGTGTGTGTGTGTGTGTGTGTGTGTGTGTGTGTGTGTGTGTGTGTGTGTGTGTGTGTGCGCACCAGTGTATTCATGGAAACCAAGTGAGTTTACAATCAGGCCTGACATAATGGAGAGTCTATTTATAGCGATGACCACCATGGTGTTTCCCTGCTGGCTGGTTACTCAGGACCCCCTGTGTGGTGTGACTCAGGCCTCCTGCAGCCTGCAGTATACAAGCAACCAGTGTGTGTGTGTGTGTGTGTATGTGTGTGTGTGTGTGTGTGTGTGTGTGTGTGTGTGTGTGTGTGTGTGTGTGTGTGTGTGTGTGTGTGTGTGCGTCTGCCATACCCGGGCAGTGGTGTCATTACTTAGTGGGATTCCTGGGGGAACATCCAATGCTGAGTCAAAGTGCCACCATCTCCCAGAATAAAAGCCTCTTTCACCGGCATGCAGACGTACTCCCAAATTTGGGGTTGTGGCTCTTTTTTTAGAACATATTCAAGCCTCAAGGGAACTGAAGGTTTTTCCTAACTCCCTTTCTCTTTACATACTTATAGCTGAGCCTAACTTTCCAGCATCTGTATTTACACACCTGGCAGACTGCAGCTTGCAGCAAGGCATCCAGTCCCCCCTCAGGTGTGTCCATGTTTCCAGATATGCGCTGGCGTTTGATCACACGCGTGAACTCGCTTATATTTCCAGTCATACCCAGGACGTGGTGGAAGCCATGGGCTGGACGACAGCGGATCTCATAATCACTGTTGAGAAGTTGGAGAAAGTTTTAATTGCTACTTTCAGGAATGTATAACTCAGGACCAATGAATGTAAAAAGTCTGTCTGCTCTTTCTTGTCTCTTAATGTACAAGTTCCTTGCAGAGTCACACAAAATTGGAAGCAACTAATGCTTGCTTTGATTAATTTTTAAATAATAACTCAAATCACCATTCTTCTTGGCTCATTAAAAGAAGAACAAGTTGGCTTCGAAATATAACAAGGCAAACTTTGAAGGTGTTGAATGTCTATTCTTCTCATAGCAGGAACATTAACACAGTTATTAAGATGAAAATGAATAACCCTGTTTCTTTAAGCAATACATCATCTGTTGTGTGTCTTACCTGCAGGGGTTGCTGATCTTGGATGGATGGACGTTGATGTAAGGAGAGACAGGCTTGTCCACAAACGAGCCGAAACCCAGCTGAAGGTCCGAGGAGTGCTCCGTCATACGAAGAGACAACGCCACACCTACTGTCTTCAACTGGACCACAGAAGAAACAAAGAGGTTGGTGGAGGCCGAAAGGGAATCCAAGGGCAAAATAAAGACAAAAGGAAGGGTAGTAGAAAGGCATGAAGATGTAGAGGGTAAGATAAGGCAAGTATTTCATTAAAGGTCTTCCTTATATAAGTACATTAGCTGCAATTTATTTCATACTAAATGTAAAGAAGCTATACAGAAGACAGTATCTTAATCTAGTATCTGTGTTTATAAGTCTTGTATCTAACCTTCATACAACATAGTGGTTTGTATAAAATGTGTTTAGTTTTCTTTAGTTCAAACCTTTGGAAAAACACTTTTTCCTTAAAATAATATTAATAAAAAGCTTCAGCACTGACGGAAACTGATAAACACCTACATGATCGAGGTTTTCCTGCATAGAGGCCGACACATCAACCAGGTAGTACAGATCCACAGGATAACGCTTCAGCTGCTTCACAGCCACCACTACACTGGCCTGCGAACCTTTAAACACACAGAAACAGGAGAACATAATTAACTTCAAAACTTTACCTCAGATGACTTCTCACACGCAATAATAAATATGCATTTGAGGCCCAGATCCAGGTCTACCTGGTCTGAGGGTGACGCTGATGTCTTGTGGGGATACTTGTGGGCTGCTGGTGGTGGCGTTGACCTCCACCTTGACCTCTGACTGCTCCATGAACTCCGGCTCACAGCCTCTCCTGAGCAGCTTCACCGGCAGGTCGCAGCGCTGGCTCGCCACCGCTCCATCCAGAAAGTCCTAGAGGTCACACGAGGTCAGGAGATGAAAAGTGCAAAGGGGACATTCACCTTCTTCGAATACAATTCAATCGCAGAATTCAATAACAACATTTTGAATTTGATCCAGAAAACTAAACACACAGGAGAAAAACCTGCCAGCTTAACAACTAAGCCGTCTTTTAAGATGTTGTAACATTAATGTGGGTCAAGTGAATGCAACATGATGCTCTCTACTAATGCAGCTAAAAATATACTGTATGCCCTTCATGAATGTATACTCTGTTATTATGTTTGTATGTGTTTCAGCTTTCTCCTTGTGTCACTCAAGCAGATGAAGGAGAGGATTTTAAGGTCAGACTAATCAATTTCCTGCATCCCACTCCTCTTTTAACGTTGCAAACCACATCTATTTACATAATGTAGGAGTACACACACAAGCACCCCAGAGTTTTTCATTCATGGGTTCTCTCACCCACTCGGTTAAGTACAGTGTGAAAACCCTTTTAGTTAACCTCATCATGTCACACAAGAAAACACAGCAAATGGAAACTTTCACAACCACTCATCCTGGTTTACTTTCTGTCATTTTTATGATGTGTTTTGATCTGCAACGGAGTATGTGTCGTAGGTGTATCAGCGACTTGTTTGTGTTTAAACATTCATGTTTAGGATCTAATCTCACCGTGTCTGAACACAGAGGGAAGGAAAATTAAATGAAAGTAGCAGCTCTGATAGATAGAAGAGTTTACATGATCCGATTGGCTTTTTCTTATGTAGGACATGATTTAATCATCTACTTGCTCCAACAGTCGGGTAAAACAGCGTCATGTCATGCAGCTTTGGAGTGACCTTTCCTACTTCCGTCTGTGAGAAACATGCTCAAACACAAACACTTGCACCAGAAACATAAAACTAAAGCATGTAATGGGCCTGATTATGAGTTTGACATGATAACAAGATCCTGCAGATAAGGATTGAAATGATGCAGATACAGTAATTGAGATTACTAATACTTTTAACAGAAATAGGTCAAGGGACAAGCAACTGCTATCAAGATTGAATTTTGTTTATTTATTGCTTTCCCAGTGGCTATAATTTGTCCAGTAAAAACTGCAAATACCATAAAGTTGCCTTGTGATTTCCCAGGATTTTCCTAACAGAGTTTGCCCTTTCCCTTGACACTGAATGTCATTGGCAATATGTGATCATGCCTTTTAACAAGCGCTGTACCTTCTAACTCCTCAGTGCTTGTCTAATTCTGTCTCTGTGACGTTGTGTGTGTAGGAGGTAAGAGAGGTGGTGTTTGACTGCTTTCACACACCAGTGAGCCACTTAATGAGGTCGGTTTAGGTTAGGGTACACAGGATGGGAAAGCACCTGAAGTCTGTAAACACACACATGTTGATGTTCGGTCTAGACGTAGTGGTGTGTGTGTCTGTGTGTGTGTGTGTGTGTGTGTGTGTGTGTGTGTGTGTGTGTGTGTGTGTGTGTGTGTGTGTGTGTGTGTGTGTGTGTGTGTGTGGGGCTAGAATTATTTACAGCTTCTCAGGGCTTATTTGGGGTGGGCTCTTTACGAGACACACTGACAGACAAGCCAGAAAGCAGATACACCCCAACACACTTTAGGACAAATGCAGTGATATGTGTGAGCGCATAGACTAAACACATCGATAGAAAGCGCCTCTGTCTCTGCGCCATGAGACAGCACACTAGAAACATTCACACAGGTCATAGGGCAGGCCACTAAGCCCGAAAAATACACATTATATTCTCATCTGTGGATGGCATCAAAGCTTTGGTGTGTAATCTGAGGAATGCTGCTGAATGTTAGCCACGTTCTTTGTTTTTTTTCCCAGTCTGTCACACAAAAACACATTTTTATACACATTCCTACCTCCTTGAAACACCAGGCACACTGTGGTCCACGGCTGAGACACTCTTTACAAGAAGTGAGGCTAGGAGACCAGCACACACTTTCACCTGCAGAGAGAGAAAGAGGTTGAAAGTAAAGGGAAGAGAGCCAAATACAATAAGATGAAGAGCCTGTGATTAGCATATGAGAGAATGTGCGTGTCAACACTCATTAGCCATGCAGTCTTGACCCTGTCGATATTTAGAGATCTCATGCAACTTTTGATAATAGAAGCACAACTTAGCATCTCATAAGGCTATTCAGTCAGCTGTGTAGTGGGAAAACGGCTGTGAGTGTGGGAACAGGTGCTTGAGTTGTTGGAGTGGTGCAATGGATCATTTCCCACTCCCACACAAAAAAACTGAGTACTTTTTAATTGTGAGTCAATGAATGATGCTCACACATTTAATATTTATCAAGTGACAAATCAGTCATGCAAGATACTTTTTTGCAACTGTAAGGAAAAAATGATGTACACACTAAAGATTTTACAGGATCACAAAAGCCGAAACATGAACCTTGACTTTATGTTGTGGTTTTAATGATTCATTAAAGTGATTTATATCCTGAACTGCAATTTTCTGGAGCCATTTCTGTGAGCTACATGCTTTGAATGTAGGACATAAAAATGCTGCGGGTCCTGGCATCACTAACAAGCTCTGACCCAATTAGCACTCCTGGCCTGCGGCAAACCTCAGAAGAGGTAAAGCGTTTAACTTCTAATTATAGCTGATCAATACATGCTGAAACAAGAGGTTTATGGGGTATGGGCTATTCCTGAGGGTTAGAGGTTTCACTTCAAAACCGCTTTAATGTATTTTGAATGAGACCGTTTTATAAGCCTGGCTGCTTGCTTTCTGAAATATGCCATAATTGCATTAATTGAGATTTATGGCATAATAGCATTAATTAATCCTAAAATGCTCATAAAGTGGGTTCTTTGGAGGGGAAATCTTTATTAAGAAAAATACATGTTGAAGAGTCCTTTACATGAACAATTTTGAAAACCATCAACCCCTTGCCGAGAGCACAGCTGGTGTCGTCTTGACATGATACGATGCAGGCTAATTGCTGGGATATGATGTAATTGGCCCTAATGAGCCTCCATACTCACTGGCACTGGAGCGTTGTGCGCAGACAGCGACCACCAAGCAGAAGAGCAGGAGACACAGAGGGACGCTGCCGTATGTGCGGAGCCAGGAAGTCATATTATCCTATCCACACCGGGAGGGTGACACAGGAGCAGAGGCTGCAAAGCTACTGGAGATGAACCGGGGAAAACCGGGTGTCCTGCGTCCGCTGCCGCACCAACAAAAGCCGGTAGTGCCGGACCGAGACGCGGGGCATTGTCAATTGCCCAATAACCTTCTAATCCCGGGGAGGTATTCACATCCCCTGGGGTAAATCAGCTTATAAACGCGCTCCCCCGTGGACCACGAGAGGAGGGGAAGTAATCGGTCGTCTGTGGCGCAAGTCCCTCCATCTATTTCCTTTAAGCCGCAGGTGTGCGACGTCTCCCCCAGTCTGTCTCACAGCTGATCGTGAAGTCTCGTCTCGGGACAGAGACCAGCTGAGTTACACGCACGAGCACCAGCGCCGGTGCGCACCAACATGCACGTCCCACGCGACAGCCAGGAGAGTGAGCTGTTATAACCCCTATGACTGCCATGGAAACGACGCTCTCAGAGAGGGGAGGGAAGAGAGAGACTAATAAGGGGAGATAGAGAGAGAGAGAGAGAGAGAGAGAGAGAGAGAGAGAGAGAGAGAGAGAGAGAGAGAG